GCTGAAGGACGGCCTGATCCAGATCAAGAACCACCTGAACCTGGAGGACCTTCATCATCTTCTACCACGGCATTGCAGAAAGCTCTTCGAGAGAAGGGACCAGAGATGGTGGACAGCATGCCAGTGAGAGGTGAGTCAGGCGCCAACCGGTGTCCTGATCTACACGGAGGACATCCAGGACATCACCAAGACCGTGATGGGAAGACGTTCATGTACGACCTCTACGAAGGGCGCCGAGCACCAACTGGAGCTGAGGTCCCAATCGATGACGCTTCATCGTCCTCTACTTCCTCAATCTCTGAGCCTGAGGACCTGTCGTCTGGGGAAGAGGAGCTCATAGTCATGAAAGAGAATGAGAAACCTCCAGCGAAGAAGAAGAAAGAGAATGCCTCGAAGCCTGAGGACACCTTGACTGGCTGGCGAAGAACAAGGATCGCCGACGAGGAGCCATGTCAAAGAAAATGTCCGAGAAGGGCAAAGAGGTCCTATGGGAGAAGCTTCCTATGAGCGAGAAACAGGAGTTTGACCTTGCAATGGCCAAAGAGCTCTCCCAGGTGGCCATCAGCAAAGCCTTGAGGAATTTGACCAAGCAGGAAGAGCTTCAAGTGAAGCCGGAGCAGCTGATGAGGATGCGCTGGGTACTCACTCGGAAGAGTGATGGATCGGCAAAGGCGCGCTTGGTGGTGCTTGGCTTCATGGCGCATAACTTGACTGAAGTGGCCACTACTTCACCGACTATGTCCAAGGTCGGCCGCAACGTGATCCTCACCCTCGCCGCCGCCTATAGGTTCAAGCTCAAGGCCGGCGACGCGACGAGCGCTTTCCTGCAGACGGGCATTAGCCTGGAGGATGAGCAGCTAAATGTCCTGGCGCCGCCAGAGTTGAGTGTCATGTTTGGCTCGGAGGCGGGCGATCAACGAGTTCTCCGAGTACGAGAGGCTTTCTACGGGCTCGCGCACGCTCCAAGAAAATGGTGGGAGCGCTGTGTGCAAACCATGAAGGATGGGCAATGGCATCAGCTTCTTGGAGACAAATGTTGCTTTGCTTTGTATGAGCCTGGCACTGGTGGCAAAGGGCAACCTCCAAAGCTAGTGGGTTTGGCAGGGCTTCACGTAGATGACTTCCTACTGGCAGGAGACGAGACTTCAGAGTTCTTTGTGACCCGTGAGAAGCTGCTGAACCAGGCATTCCGATGTGGACGGTGGAACACTACCGACTTCGAATTTGCCGGGTCCGCGATCAAGCAGAATGATGACGGCTCGATCATCCTGAACCAGGAGAGCTACACGCTCAGATGATCGAAGAGATTGAAGTGGACAAGAGTAAGGCGATGAAGACGCCCCTGACTCCTGCGGAGACTTCCTCGATGAGAGCGGCGCTGGGAACGATCTCATGGCGATCAACCCAATCGGCGCCCCAGTTCCTAGCAGAGACTTCATTGCTGCTGAGTGAAGTCAACAAGGGGACCATCGAGTCACTGCATAAGGTCAACAAGCTGGTCCGCGAGATGCGCCGCGAGGCTGGACAAGGGCTCATCTTTCCAACTGGTTGGCAGTTCAAGGACATCACTGACCTGTGTGCGTTTACATGGGCAGATGCGAGCCAACGCAACAGGCCAGACAAATCCAGCACTGTGGGCATCATCACCGGCGTCACGGTGAAAGAAGCACTTGGAGGAGCAGAAACCCAGGTGGCAGTGGTGCAATGGAAGAGTGGCAAGACGCCACGACAATGCTTAGGCTCCAACGGGGCCGAGGTGCAAAGCATCACGATCGGGGAGGACCAGAACTACCAGATCAGAGCTTTGATGGCCGAGTTCGGTGGCTTGGAGCTGAAGAGGGCTGAGCTTCACGAGACCGTGAAAAGGGTCCCCGGAGCTTTAGTCATGGATTCCCGAGGAATCTATGACGCGATGACCCGCAACCTCTCTGCCTTGCATGGTCTTCGCGACAGCCGAGCAGGGTATGAACTGACTTTGGCAGTCAACCAGGCCTTGAAGGCCAAGACAGAACTCAGATGGGTGAATGGACTGGCCCAATTGGGCGATTCCCTCACCAAGAGCGGGGCCAGGAAGACCATTTTGCAATTCCTGAGCCAGCGACAGCACTGGCGCCTGACCCATGATGACAAGTTCGAAGCTGGGCGCAAGGTGCACAAGAAGATCATGGAGCAGCGGCTGAGAGAGGCCCAGAATTTGTTTGTAGAGAAGTTGAAGGGGTTGGCCAAACGGTTCAACTGGCCATGGGACGCAGATGAACCTGCGCCCCAGTACCCACCTTTTACCTGAAGGGCCCAAAAAGGGTCACAGGATTTTGGGTGATGTGAGCACCCGCGCGGTTGTTGTACGTGACACGTACATGCCCCTTTTTACCCTCAGCGGTGGGGCTGGAGCATGCAGCCAAAAGGTCGTGCTGCGCAAGCGGTTTAGGTCCCTGGTGGACCGGTTTGGGCCTTTGTATAGGCCGATTGCACTTATCTTTTTTTGGCCTATGAACAACATTATGTTTTAGGCATGGGTACGGCTTTTGACGAGAGTTGTTGTTTGAAACTCACGTCAGACTTTTCTTTGTTTATGTAAAAACCTTGGAAATCGTGGAAAGGTCGTAAAAGGCAAAGAATGTATCGTCAATGAGTTCCAAGCAACATCCTAAGTTATTGAGACACAATGGAACAAAAACAATCATATCATACACCTCAACAAGAAACGACAAAGACAACAAAGACTACTTATAAAGAATGACACCAAGAAATCCCACACGGTAGATGCTTTCCAATCCTGAGGATGATGTTTGTCCAACTCTGCTCAAAAGCCACATTCAGTTTCACTGCTTAGCCCAACAAGGCCTGGCCTGGCCACAACCCCCCTCCCTTTGAAACGAGGCCTATTTGCCTCCGTTACCGCCACTGACTGGAGCCCAGCAAGCTGCGGATTTGAAGCCCATTTTTCAATACCACCAGTACAGGTACATTTGGCGCAAAGGGTTTAATACCAAAAAGAAATGCAGAAGTATTTCCCCAAACAGTTTACTTTTAGGGGTTCTCAATTCTTTCTTAAGATGTGTCCGCCCTTTGTGTCACTGCTGGTGTCCGCCCTTTTCCGCTGGCCATGTAGCATTTCT